AAAACGTTTGGCCAAAAAATAGTTATTTAAACTTTATTTTCGTCTTTAACTCGATTTTGTTTATATATTGTTATTATTATTTGAAATCCAATTTTGAATATTAAAATTGAATTTTATTTATCGTTTTATTAGTTTTCAACGCTTCTAACATTATGTGTGTTTTTTTGTGTTCAATTTTTGTGGTATAAATAGAAAGCATTTTGAATATTGTATTGACAATCGATACTATTTTTATCCAAAACAAATAATGCTATTGTATAGAGAATTGAATGACAAAATTTGGTGACAATTATTATATTGAGTGCTATTATTAGAGGACGAGAGGGTCGGGAGTTTGACTGCAAATATTGGCCCTCTTGTTGATCGCAAAATGTTTGTTCAATACTTTATTTCAAATCTCAATCTTAGTTTCAGTTAAAGTTAGTTTAGTATATGATGTCTAACAGCGAATGTTTGCGCTATTATTGTGTGTTTATAAACACATATACAATATATTGTCCTCAAGTCTTGACCACTGATGCGATTACAAAGTGAGGGTCCAGTGATCGATGCCATTAATGTCCGTACTTTAGCTGCAGTTTGTATGCCATCAGTTCCACCCATTTTCTTAGTAATGATCAGTGAATCGGCAGAGATAGCAATAGACAGGGAGTGAACACTTGTATGTCAACTGAATGGGTGTTATAGTTGACAAACTCTTAAACACAAATTTAATGATGATTTGTATATTTGTTGCAGACATTTGAATCAAACTAACGGCACAATTGTATCATTTAATGTCAGAGAGAGAGAGAGAGAGAGAGAGAGAGAGAGAGAGAGAGAGAGATTCAAAGGTTACAAATATCTAGAAGAGCCATAAATGAAATAATGAATATAATTTAAACATAAAATCTGTTAAAGCATTTTCGTGTTGAACTAAAGGGCAAACTATTTATTCGTAAATCAAATTAAAGCCAAACAGACTTTCATATGAGAAATAAATAAGAATTTATCAAAGATATCAATAAAATGTGATATTAATGTAAGTCTTGTATCGACTCACTTGATATAATAGCTCTTCCCGTCCTTATCAACAGCCGATTCCCATCCATAGGGGAAATACTGGTCATCCGATCCTTTCCACGACTCGATGGGCGGAAGCCATGAAGTCGTCTTCGTTTCATGACTTTATAAAAGAAATCAAAATACATAAAAATTGTATTAAGAAATATTGCATTCAATGAAAAGGTATATTTCACAAAGAATACTCTCAAACATAATAATACTTTATATTCAGTAATGAAATATGTTTTATAAGAACATAAAGATTGAAAAAGTGGGATAAAAGCAGGTATTAGTGGTATAAAAGAACAAAAAGCTTTTCCATAATTCTTGTAATACATAATATTGTTATGCTTTTCAGTCAACCGTTTTTTAAAAGTCACTGAATATAATATATAATCCTATTTATTATAAATGATAAAACTTCAATAATAAAGAGAAAAAACTTTTTTTAATATCAAAAATATGTTCATATATTGGGAACAAATTTTGCTTCAAAACCTCTATAAATGACAACAATAATCAATACATTATTAAAAATGCATTTTTGATATATTCTATGCATTAGTGTTATCACAGAAGTGTTACACAAAAATTCCTAAACAAAAGCCAAAAAAGCCCACATTTAATGACGATTTGAGCTCCAGTTCCCCTCAGTTGCGCTCAAAAGTTCTCTCTCTCTCTACCCATCCCTAACCACTTAATTGTTAAATTATGCTCATTATAATCATTACAATAATCATTCAAGTCTATGATCTCTTCCTTTTTAATCTTATTTTTCGAACCGATTGCCGATTGAAATGTATTCTCAAGTTTTTGTTTCTGTTTTTCTATTTATAGCATAACTTTTATACACTACTTATCATTACATAATTGAAAACATGTTAAAATAATTTAGTTTTTATCATTTGTCTCAAAGTACTGCCATGTCTTTCGATAAGGATATGATTTTTAGTCTGCATTTTTCTAACTTTTTTCTATTTAAAAATTTTGATCATCACATGAAATAATAAAATATGTTTAAAATGTTTTGTTTTTACCGAATATGTATTGAAGCGTTGAACGTATAGTTAGATATCATAGTCTTTTCTTTTTGTATCACTAAATCTGTATACTTTATGATCACATCCTTTCTCTTCAGTCATTCGTGGCTTTCTATGAAATATCGGAAAAAATAAATTGTTTTGGTTTTCATGAATATTGTTTAGAGCAAGAACTAAGAGCCACTGTATATTGAACTTATCTTACTTAACAGCGTTAAAATACTTAAATAATATTTTAACCGTAATTACAAATAATAAGATTAATTAGTATCGTGTTATGCATTAAGTTTATATGAGTAAAACATTATGCAGATTAAGACACTTTTAAGTATACCATTATTTGTTTTGCTAATTATAATAACTTATATCGCATTATAGGGTACTTTTGTTTGTTATAACTGTGTTTTTATCAACACATTTAGCATATTTACTGTTATATAAACTACTTATAAACCATTATATAACAAGACAGCACATAACGAATACAATTATTTACTTTTAGTTTTTAGTTTTAATTTTTCATACATGGTATTTATTTTTTCCATTTAGATTAGCTAATTTTGTTTTACTTTTAATTTGCTTTAAATTAAATCTCAATAATTATTTTGTAATATACAACTGTTGTAAGATATATTTGAAATTTTAATTTATTTATTTGTAATTTTTGTTTTATTCAATTGTATACCATATGAAGTAATGTATAAATTATTTTAGTCTAAATTATATTTTTATATATAGAACAAACTTATAAAAAGAGTTTTAATTATAATTTATAAATAATTAATTGTTGGTCTGAATACTTAATAACGTAAAGACTTCTTTTACATAATTATAATTTATTACATTTTAATTGATAAGAAGTGTTACCACAAGTAAATTAACTCTATTTTACTCTAAATTAAGTCCACAAATGTTCATTAATATTTTGTTTTTTGGTTTTATTTAAAATATTGCTTATTATACAAATTAACTTTTTTAATTTGTTTTATGGAAACTTTTAACATTTATATTAAAAACTTTAATTAAAACTGTTATTTTTAATTAGATTAAAGAGTTTTAAGCAAAGTAATAAAAATAACAATTCTTATCATTTGGTATAAGCCTTGAATTAAGTATATTTTTTGGTAAAATTATTACTTAAAACTCAGATAAGGAGTGAATTTAAAAAAGAGAAAAATGTATTAAAAAACAGGAAAAGTATTTTATCACTTGTGAGATAAGCGCTGAGATTGAGATTTTCGTGTTAAATTGACTTTTTATTTATTCATTGATATTTAATTGACTCCTAAATGGAAATACTTGTGAAAATAGTGTGAATATTTGTATATTTCTTATGATATGATCAATAGATAATATGGCAATAAATTGTGTTCAAATATGTTCAGCGCTGACCTCATCGTAAATATTGGAAATTATTTGTCGATTATATTGACAAACATATAATTATCCCATTTTTAGGTTATTTTAATTTGTTTGCCAAACAATTTTCAATTGAAGTCACTTCAATACCTAATGATTGTATTCGTGATATTTTGTGGGCAAATAATAGTGTATTTTTCACTCAATACATGTAATTACTATTAAATTAGAGTTATATAAAGAATTATTATAATCTTTATGTTCACATCAAATGTTTGATGAATTGAAGACATGATAAATATTTACGTGATATAAAAATAGTGAACATATTGTACTGTTATTATCAATGATTTTATACATTTTAATACAGTATAATAAAATTTCATTTCCTATTAAATATAAAAATGTTGAGTCTATTCACGACTTTTTCACAAACTAAACAAACACTTCGATCGCATATTTAAATATAGCAATTGTTTTGAATTAATTATTTTTCTGCCTTTTTCTGATATTCTTTGGTTGAATTGAATTAATTAAAAAAGTCTATCAAATAAATTAGTTTATAATTTTGAAAAATGCAAATCAGTTGCCGTCTAGACGTCAGTGACTGCGGCGATGAGAGAAAGTTAATGATTTTTTCTGGCGATTTAATTATAAATTGAGATATAATTGTATTCATAAATATTTACATCAATGAAAAATGGGTTAGAATTTTATGACATATTCAACGAAAATGCTTTTACATATGTCTGACAGACGCGTGCATTCATATATTGAGCCTTTTTTCACAAGTTTTATTTATTTATACCGTATTTTAAGAGAATATTTAGAATAAACATAAGTTTTATGCATTCAATCGGTTCTAAAAAAATATGTTTAATCTTTATATGAAATATGTCTGAACTTTTGTATTAAATTCACAATTTTTCAGTTTTTGTGTTGAAAAGAAAATCTTTGTGAAACTAAATATTCCTAAAAATTTATCTGAATTGAAAATTTTTCTTTTTATATTCAAAATATATATAAGAAATATGTTTTACTTTCAAAAGTGTTTGAAATAAACTTCATTTCCATAATAACTTCAAATAATATAACTTTTTTTTATTATTCTTTGTAAGAATTTTTAAAAATTGAAAGACATATTAACAACAAAGTTGTGAACAATTTTTCGTTTTATAACTTATTTTTAGAGGTTTTTTGGACATATTTTATATCCAAAACAGTAAAGGAAGTCTTATTTATGAAATTTATTGCAGGAATTTTTACTTTAAGAGAGTTCTTAAGTTTTTAGTGAAAATTAGAAAAATTTGACAATATTTTTGTTTCTAATTTTTAACGAACTCTTGACATATAAAGGGTACTGTATACTGTATATCCAAAAAATGACTGCTTTTCACTCAAAACTTATGTCTCAAGAGATTTCTTATATATCTTAAGAAAATAAGTTTTTTGCTAAATATTCAAGACTTGAATGTTGTGTAAAAAATATTGAATTATTAATAGAAAACACTATAATTCATATGAGAGATAAGTCATAGAGATTTACACAATATTATAATGATTTTGTTGGATAACAAATGCAGGAAAGCTATTGAACAAACAAATATCCTAAACGACAAATTATTATTTCTTGATTTACAGTCACGTCAACAAAACGACTACATATGAAGACCCGAGAAAAGACTTGGAAGAAGAGCCGCCACCTCTTCCGCGACAGATAGAACTCATAAGAGATGAAAAGCTGAACTTCGGTTTCGTCGCCGGCAGTGAAAAGCCAGTGATTGTGCGCTTCGTTAAAGAAGGTATGTTTGCATTCAATCTATCAAAACACGTATTTTTAAGACCACTTTAAATATTGTGTTTTATTGTGACAAAAAGGAGGGCCGAGTGAGCACTTACTCCAAGCCGGGGACCAAATACTCAAGATTAACGGCGAAGACGTAATAAGAGCTCCTCGAGAACATGTCATTGAACTCGTAAAGTATGTATTATTGTTGGCCATTGTTTTGCAACCAATTGTAAACCTATAATAATGATTAAAACCAAATGTTAATCTCTATTATCTGCGGTTCAGGTCATGTAAACACAGCGTAACTCTGACAGTATGTCAGCCCTACTCTAATAATGTAAGTTTTGTTGATTTTAATCCGATTTACATATTATTTGTCTATCAATCGTCAGTCATATGATGACTGATGACATAAATGCCAATTTGTTCTGCAATCATAATGTGTTTGTGTCGTGTAGTCCACCCGTAAGTCAGCTCTGCTGACGGCCGCCAAAAAAGCCAAATTAAAGTCGAATCCATCGCGGGTTAGATTCGCTGAAGGAGTTGTGATCAACGCTTCGCCACTTTTTTGTCCGATGTCTGCATTCGAGTCATGCGTTCCATTCATGCCTAATGTGTTGAAAGTATTCCTCGAAAACGGACAGACGAAGACATTCAAGTACGACAGCTCTACCACTGTTCAGGTATTCACACATTCATTGCCATTATCTCATTATTCTGTCAATACATATATTGTGTTATTTCTTTTGAAAACATTTTTTTTGCAAAAAAAATTCAATTTTTTCTTTTATAAAAAGGATGTCTTAAACTCATTGTTGGAGAAGCTGTCGATCAAATGTGGCGAACATTTCAGTCTTGTCTGCGAACATATCAAAGCTATGCGAAGAAATCGGTTAACACTTCTCGACCCGAAAGAGACGCTCACAAAGGTTTGTATAATTCAATACATTTGCAAACTATTGAATATTTATTGAATGGATTATAAAATGATTATAAATTTGAATGAATGCGTGAACAGATCGCCGCCCGTCCGGGCGCTCATAACCTGCGGTGTCTGTTTCGAGTGATGTTTGTCCCGAGCGAAGCAATGGTACTCTTGGAGAGGGACTCAATTACGTTTGAATACCTGTACAGCCAGTGTTGCAATGATGTGGTTCAGGAGCGCTTCTCACCGGAGCTCAAATACGAGATCGCGTTAAGACTGTCTGCTCTACACTTACTCCAGCACTCGATTGACAGCAATTGTATGCAAAACAATGGAAAAGTGAATCTCAAACTCATTGAAAGGGAATGCGGTTTAGAATCGTTCGTTCCGTTCACTCTTCTCGAGTCTATGAAACGCAAAGAATTACATAAATTACTCAATCATTTCCTGAAACTCAACCAACAGTTGTGTCCGACGGGTCAGAAACACTTGAATTCAATTCAAGCCAAACTCCATTACCTGAAGATAATGAGTGAATTGCCCTCTTATGGCGCGAAGATCTTCTCACTCAACATCAGAGATATGACCACAGAATCGGGTCTTTTAGTGAGCCCTAGGTTTGGCATAAGTCATGTGAATAGTTTTATGAGGAACTCAATGCCCACTACTGTCGCTAAGATTGAAGACATTAATTACATAAAAGTGTCCAAAAGTGATGACCTCTTCTATAGTCTTGAAGTGCAACTCAAGCCATACACCAGCGATGGTATGAGTACTTCACTTCAGTCTCCACTGCGCTTTGATCTCGAGGACAGGGATGCGGAAGAGTTTGTGCTTATGATCAGAGGATATCACCGGTTATTCAATAAATACGATAACAATTGCAACGATAAAGAATTGCCAGTTTTGTGGGACATACCCGAGGAGTGGTGGAATGATTCCGGTATGTCTTATAACACCATCCCATCCCTCCATCCCTAATACATTTATACATTAATTTATTTCCCTTCGGCTTAATTAATCTTTTATTATATAATCGATATATTTTGGATTCAATTCATGGCTTTTGTTTTCTGTTAGAAATGTTTTCAAAACACAAATAAAAGTCTATTATTTTGCTTTTAATATTGATTTAATGTTTTTACGTGTCTTTCGCTCTCAGCTATAATCCAAAACATTTTCTTATGAATTAGTTATCTCAATGTCTGACTCTCTCTTCTTTTCTCTATCTCTCTCTCATTTAATGCTAACTTTAACCGTACGTATTGTGCAGTGAAACGCAATCTTATATATGGCTTTGGTATGACTTTACATTAATTATACTTACATTGACTTCTGTTGTCATCAATATTTAATTACTATTTTTTTGTGGTAAAAATAGCTCCGAGTTATTGTGGTTTCCATACCGTACGCGAAGCCCAATGGAGTTACGTTACCAACGACTCAGTCAGAGAAATAGACTTATCTATACCTCCGCCCCGTTATATGCCTTCCGATTCCCAACACTCCGATCACAATCACCACAATATTCAGTCATCTTTAGACTCAAGTTATGCATCAGTCGATCACAATATGAACCAAAGCGTTAACTCCAATGGCATTGATTTGCCATCACTTGTGTCGATGGAAATACTCGAATCTCAGGCCACAGACGTCGGCCTCAAAAGCGATGATATCATGCAAAGGGTGTCCGAAATGAACCAAATAGTGGCCGACGCTCAGCACTATTTGGCCGATGAAGTACTCAATGAGACCAAAGAGACGGACAATAAGACGACGACAGAGACCGCGGCAGAGAAGAAGACTGTGGAGACCAATTGGGACCAAACACAACGACTCCAACCCACAGATTCTCTGCTGCTGTTAACGCAAGTGAATGGAGACACGAATGGAAGCGCTAATGACAAACAAAACGGTATTTCATTGTTTGCAAATAGTTTTAAATGCATTATAATGTGTTAATTGTGACCCGAAATAGCGAGGGATGTCATTAACGGCGAGCTGTCAGCCAATGAGAGCGACACCGATAGTCTTATGAGTCCTAATGAGAGTCCTTTGCATCGCATAAGCATTGAGAACAGTATGAATGCATTGCAGTTAACGAATGGCGGCGTCTCTGTCAACGGCGGGGCGTCCGGCGGTCCGCGGCCTCAGACCACAAGTTTTGGTTTACACAGTCCTGACGTCTACCCAAACCTGAGTCGCGCCGAACAGAATCTCATCGAAAGTATACAACAATTGAAGTCTGAGACCGATCTGAAGCTCAATTTCCCGAAAGATATTTGCCTCGACTCTGAATTGATTGATTTGACGGCTTTCCCGCCGCCCGACACACCCGACGAACTCGAGTTTATCGACTCTTCAATGGGTTTTCCCGCCGCTGAAGACCCACCCACGCCTTATAAGGAGGACATAGACTTTACTCACTTTACGACCGATGACTCGGCGCGAGTTGTGGCCGAATTGGACGACTTGTGCGATACTCTGTCCGAAATGCAATCGACGGCAAGCGATCGCAATTCTAATACGAGTCAACCCTTGCATTATAGTCCTCAAGATATCGACGATTTCATTGAGTCAATGACTGTAAAGCCTCCGCCGCCGGACACACACCAGATGGCTAACGACGAGCAGTACTTGTCCTCATTTATAATCCCTCCGCCGCCGAGCGCTTCTCCATCGATGACCAGAGCGCAGGACGACGTGATTGCAAAGTTCTGGAGAGTGACCGACGATATCAGGAAAATGTGCACAAATGATGACATTAGTCCTCGCCTTTTCAAGCGTGAGGTTCACAGCAGTAGTTCGGGTGAATCGGGATATGACTCGGCGTTCCCTTCGGCCTCCTTTTCCGTGTCGACCAACGAGTGGCCAGTATTTGTAGAGAACGGCTCTCCAAAGCTCTCTCTCCCGACTGTGATTGAAGTGAACGTCTCGTCAGAAAGCGATAACTGTTTGAATACAAAACAACACTTCAGCACAAAATCAGATAACATCTCAAACGAAAGCAATAGTTGCGAAGATCTGCGGATAACCAGAGAATTTGGTCAACAAATGAATGGTTCAAATCACTCGTCACCCAAAGGGTCGCCTCATTTCTCGCGCTCCCACTCCTGGAGTACACTACCCGTCAACACTTCGTCAACGCCTCCGTCGACCACCAAATGCACAAAACCTCCGATACCTCCCTGTTCTCCATCCATACAAGAGAAGAGAAGACAAATGGCCATTAAGTCCAACACCAGTCCCAAACACCACCGAAGCTCTAAACACAGTCATCATCACAACCACAACCACAACGGCTACCATTCAATAGTCGAGAATATAATGCCGGACCCAATGATGAACGGAATGAACGGCTGTTCGGCCGCCGAAGCGGTGCGACAACAGACGGATGAGATCTTTTGTCAATCGCAGCGCGACATCGATGTACTTCTGGCGCGTCTCGAAGAGGTTCACGAGAAGAAACTCACTTCTAGTCAAGTGTTTGAATGCACCGAAAATGACTTTATGGCCGCCAAAGAGGCACTGGTGACCGAATCCAGACATTTCGTGACCGCTTCCAAGCTGTTCGTCAAGTGCGCCACCGAAGCATCGCCTCAGCTCTTGGAATATCTGTTGGATTGCGTGACACTTCTGGAGCGCATGTATAGCGTGGGAGAGATTGTCTTATTGAATATGGAATCTCAGGCACAGATCACATGTCTTGTGGACCGACTCAAAGAAGTTGCCGCCACTTACGCCTACACTGTGGACACTGTTCACAAACTACATGATAACGTGTGTTCGCCGTCGACCAGTCCTTATATGGGACTCCTTATGAATCACGCGACCAGTTTAGCCACTTCTTTGAGTGCACTCATGAGGACACTCAGGGCTATGAATATCTAACACGTTATGAAACAAATAAAGTTATAAAATGATTAATTAATATAAATATTGTGTAGTAATGGTTGTGTCCAACAGTTACTAACCGTTTAGCGACCAATAATTGATTTAAAAATGTTATTTTGTGCCACAAATACAGATAAAGATATGTTTAATATAATATATAATAGATTTTAAGCGTTCATTAATGAACGGCCGAAACGATTAAATGCAATAAAATATATCCTTTCGCTAATTTATTATGCATTTTATGTATAGATATTATAAATAACTCTTTTTTAATATAAATTATTTAATATTAAATAGCAATCAATTGCTGTGTATTTAAAGAATATTTTATAGAAATTGTGTTTATTATTATTATTTACAAAATATGAAACCAAATGAAAACTTTTTTAAATATAATTATTATTGACTTAATTTATAGTTTGAATCTGTTTTTTATAACAATTTTGCATTTATTTGTTGAGAAATATTTCATTTATTACATTAAAAAAGACATTTATTATACGATTATTGTTTATGAATTGATTATAAGGTATAATGTCATCGATATTAACATTTCATATCATTTAAAAGTTTTTTACACACAATTACCCATTAAATCAACCAAAGGCTCAAACAATGAAAATAAAATTTAAAAATAAAAGTTTAAAAATATATGAAAAACAATTCAATTAAATAATGACTGGAACTCATGATATGTGACATTTGTCTCGATTCTTGACGGCATTCCTCTGGGATTCTTCGATAGCTTTTGCCAAATCCCTGTCGTATTGAGTAGTATTAACGGCCGAACCGGAGGAATGGTTTTGTTCGTCAATCATCGACTGTTGCAGAGCTCGGGCTAAGGCTTCGTCTTCGCTATAATCGTTGGGCACTCGGAAGTCAGTGCCGTTGGAGGCAGTGGTCATCACCGGCTGAGCGCTCGGTTTCATCTGATTCGTCATTTGGACCACTCTTTGGGTGACATTTGATTTCATTTGTTCGAAGCGTTTCATTGCCGCCGAACCGGACTTCGAGGTCTGTGGCCGCGAATTGGCCGCCGGTTCGCAGCTATGATCGGCCGGATGTCTGTGTTTGAGGCAATAGTTTTGCTGGCATTCAGTGCACAACAATTGCATCAACTCTTTCTGTTTGCATCCCTTCACTGAACACTTGTTCCGATAGATCTGTTTCCGCTTTTTGATGGCCGGATCCGACTCGCAGTCCTGGTCTATGTGTTGGCCGACCCTAATGTCGGGCAGTTGTCCGCGAGTGATGGGCACGGGTTGGTTACAGAGCGGACATATGGGCACCTGATTGTCCAAATGGTGAGCGTTGGGACACTTGTGGGACGAGTAGGAGTAGTGATCCAAACAATACACATTCGCACAGAGATCGCACTTCACGGGCAGAAAGTCTGCAAAACAAACACATCATCATTGGATCAATTGATACGACAATCATATGAATGGTGTCAATGGTGTGAACGCATACCTAATCGATGGCATTCTTCGTGAGAACAGTGTTGACCCAAATCTGGAAATTCCATCACTTCTTCGTGCGCTTCTTCTTCGGCCGATTGTGTGGTCACAAGTGATCATTGAATGCAATCCACACTCAATGCAAACGCGATTACAATTCAAACGCAATTAAGTGGTAATGGATTCGCAAATAATGCAAAACATAACACAAATCGTAATAAACGCTAAACTAATGAACCGATTGTTAACTCAATTGTGAACTCATTTGGTGTCAAAACATGTGTTTATATACAGAGTTCACAGAATATTCTGGAAATGACGCGACGATCGCTTGAGTGGACCAATGAGTGGTCACTCAATCATTTGATGACTCAATCACTGCATAGACTGTGCAATGAATTGCACTTTTCGGACATATTATATGTCATCTCACGTTTGCATTACAATAATATTGACGTTATTTATGGACTCATTATTGACAACAATCATGTGATGGCAGCAAAAGACTAATGAGATTGAAACTGATCCCATCTCAAGACATGTTTGTGATAATACAGTCAAACTGGTTATAAGTGTTGATAAAAGGCAAATATAATTGATTACATGATAATAAATATGACATCAAATGGTTTTGCATTCAATTTTAATTAAATTTATTAAAAAATATTAAACGACACGAAAACTCATTTGAAAACTTTGATAACGAAATTGACTCCAAAACTAATTTATACATTAATTTACGAAACAATTTCTATTCAATATATAAATTGTCGATAAAATTACAGCCCATTTATTGTCCAAATTTGGTCCTCAAATGAGTTCTTGTTGTGGCGGTTCTGACGGTCGCGAAGATGGGGTCCTAGTCTTCGAGGAAGAAATAGTTCCCTCCCCTCTTCTGTTCGGTGTCTTTCACTGAATTTAATTTATTAATTCGTGGCCTAAAGTTCGTCGGATCTCTTCTAAACGTGATGTTCAATAACTGCAAGAACTTATTCATTCCGGCCAACAGTGTCTGCGGAGTTGTGGCCACAGTCTTGATGGAGGGCTCGCCCTCGAAGACGATGACCCGATCGGCCAAATAGGTAGCCATAATGAAGTCGTGCTCCACAACAAACCCAGTCTTCTTCGAGTGCAGCAGAAATCGTTTGATGACTTTTGCGGCGACCAAACGCTGCTCCGAATCCAAATAAGCCGACGGCTCGTCAATGAGGTACACGTCGGCCGGTTTGCCCAAACACAGCACGAGTGCCACTCTCTGCAGCTCTCCTCCCGATAGGTTCACCACTTCCTGGTCTATGATGTTCTCGATCTGCAGGGGTTTGACGACCTCTGCCTGAAACTGCGGGTGATTGAAGAAATCGCGGATCTTATCGAACAACAGCATACGGACTGTGCCCTGAGATTTGGGACTAATCTTCTGCGGCTTATAACTGATGTTAAGCGTCGGCACATCGCTCTCGCCCTCATCGGGCTTCAGGTTTCCGGCGAGCATTCGGATGAATGTCGTCTTTCCGGTGCCGTTCTCTCCCAACATAACGATGATCTCCGAGTCGGTGAAAGTGCCCGGTTGTACACTCAGCTCAAACGACTTGCCCAAGTGCTTAACCATCGCCGGGTACGCGTACTGACACATGCGCTTCACCTCCTCTTCGGTGGCCGTTTCCGACACTTTGAACACAAGCGCCGTCTCTCTGAACCGCAGGTTCTCTGTCGGCACAAAACCGTCGAGGAATATATTGATACCCTCTCTAACAGAGAAGGGCAAAGTGACCACACCGTAAGCCCCGGGAACGCCGTATAGACAACAGATAAAGTCCGATAAATAGTCCAAAACAGATAAGTCGTGTTCGACAACAATGATATATTTGTCCGATTGGATCAGGTCTCGGATGGTTTCGGCCGCCTTCAGCCTTTGCTTAACGTCCAGATAACTGGAGGGCTCGTCAAACATGAAGATATCGGCGTTTTGTATGCACACCATTGCAATGGCAAAGCGTTGCAGTTCTCCACCACTCAATTCACCCACATTTCGACTGCAAATTGTTTCCGAGAGGTCTAACATTTTGCACACAAACTTCTTGTTGTCTCTTTCATTCTTCTTGTCCAACAGTGTGTCCACCATTCCGGACACGGCTTTCGGGATTTGGTCCACATATTGGGGTTTAATTATGGCTTTTAGTTCGTCCTCTAATATACGGGTGAAATAGTTCTGGAGTTCGGATCCTCTAAAGTGAGTCAATATCTCTGTCCAATCGGGTGGGTCTGTGCCGTAACGACCTATGGATGCGATTAGAAACATAAGAAATAAAAAGTGATACACAAAACATGTCGAGTCAAACCTAAGTTGGGCTTCAATTTTCCGGCTAATATCTTAAGAGCCGTGGATTTGCCGATACCATTGGTTCCGACCAAACCCAACACCTCTCCGGGTCTGGGAGTCGGCAATCGATGCAATTTGAATGTGTTTTGTCCGTAACGATGGGTCGTGTCTCGCGACAGATTGGACGGCAGATTAATGATAGTAATGGCTTCGAAGGGACACTTCTTCACACATATACCGCATCCGATGCACAGGTCTTCGCTAATCTTCGCGATCTTATCGTTTGGCGTCACTTCTATGCAGAGCTTTCCCATCCGTACGACTGGACACGACTTCTTGCACTCCTGTCGACACCTCTTGGGTTTGCATTTGTCTGTATTCACGATCGCTATTCGCGTCAACTTGTCTTGAGTTGCCATCGCTTCCCACCAAATGAGCGTCTCTTTAGTCTCTACAGTCAATCGCTGTCTAATCGATGGTTAGATCTCTTGTGACAAGAGTCTTGTCGTCAATCAATTGATCGTAATTTTAGACAAAAAAATATGTGAAAATTACACGAAAGCCACGTTTTGGCACTTTTGAGGCCATTAATCAATTACGACAGCATTTCTCACATTTTTGACACTATTTTCTATGTTTTTGTAAATGAATAAATATTTTAGTCAATATATGTTGTAATTTAATGACAATTAAGTTTATTGTAATTCATATCTAAATTGAATAAAAGTATTATTAATTGTTATAAAATGTAATAAAATATAACTCATGTCTCCATAAGTGCCGGCATTAAAGCCCACATAAAGTGTGACACTATTTGTGGACATTATTTGTAAATATTGTAATCAAATGTAAAAATAGGTGTCAAACGAGTGATGCGTTTGTCTGTTGAGTGACCGCTGAATGTGTGATATATTGTCGGCCAAAGTGTGGATCAGTTGCGATGGAAATCGAGGGCTTTTATTACGACCCGCAGAAGAAGAAATACTTCCGCATAGAGTCGGGAAACAGCGGTCAGAATCGGTTGACCGCCGAAGACGTGAAGCGAAAGTCCGCTTTGGAGGCGATGGAGTCGTACCGCCGAAGAGACGGATCCATTCATTTGCCGCAAACGCTTCACAAACAAGAGATTGATTTTCGCACTAAATATAATCTCCGGGAGGAAGTGATTCGCTCTCATCTGCGGTCTATCCGTACGATCAGAACCGAAGGCATGGAAGTGATTGACTTCTGCGGCAACGATATGAAGAATGTTTGCGTGGATTCTGTGATCGGTTCCCCCGTTAACGACAAGTTGTTCGCCGTTTTGAGCGGCGATTCGTGTACTAATGTCTACCAAATAGCGGTCGACGGCATCTTCGACGACGACTTTGACGTGAATCAGACGAAGAGATTAATCAATTCGTTTCCAAAACCCAATCGAGTGATGGATATCTCGTATATAAATGGCAGCACTTATGATATGCTGTCGACTCTCGCCCATCACTTCCCGACACCCGAGAGAATAGACACTAGTTTTACGTTGACTGCCGTCACCAATGATAACGACATGAATCCCATGAGACAAGTGTACGAATTTGCGGAACCCATCTTCAGTGCCACTCATTTCGAGGACATGAATATATTGGGCGGACAGAAGCAGATCTATGTCTTCAAACCCTCGCATTCGGGTATAATTAAGATAATTAAGTCGAAAAACAAGATCACAGCCATTAAGACGGCCCCAAAGGGCCAGTTCTTTATGACCGGCACAAACAGAGGACAGTTGTCTTGTTTTGACATTCGGGAGAACAATAATCTCTGCAGACGTTTCTCATTATCCATAAACGACAGAAGTGTCATGTGTTTAGACATAATGTCCGACAATCACAGCGTAATCGCCAGCAGTCATAACCATAGCATATGTTTAAGTGATTTACGAATGTTTGATAAACCAGTTCTTCATTATCACAATCATAGCAACAATTGCTCTAAAATAGGCTTTAGTTTCGACGAGAGTGTGGATGTGTTGTGCTCTTCGGGCGACGACAATATCATTAGATTCTGGTCATTGAAAACGGGAAAACTTTTGCATATGTATGGCTCTGAGCGGCAAAACGCTGACCACAACACCAAACCCTGTCTGCAGCCCTCCAGTCATGTCTGGTATTCCCATTCCTGGAAATGTCTTAGAAATCAATCAAAACCTCTTGTATTGGAATTATCTTCCAATCAATTGAATGCCATCTCCAGTGAAAATATTATTAGTTCACAGAATATACACATTAGAAGTACAAGACGTCAGCAAAATAATCTATTTTTGAGATAATGTTTATTTCATTTGTCATTAATTAAATAAATGGTTATACATTTACATAGATAATTATTAACGTAATGTTTTGTCATTAGATTTTAATAAGATTTACTAAATATTTAATGAAAACATAGTTTATTTTTTGTCGCAAAAGTTATATCACTTATTGTTAAAGAATTAAATAATTAAATGATATGTTTATTAAATGAAGTGTATATTTAACTATTAAATGCCTTTATTTGTATTGTTTTCTAATATTAAAACATGACATGTATTGACATTGAAAGCCTTTTCCAATGAATGGATGAAAAGCTGTAGTTTTATGCGTGAAATGAATGATTGAGTGAAGCGTTGAATACTATTCACGAGATTTCATCAAAACTGGAAATGAAGTCAAAAAAGAGTTTGACTTTCAGTTGAAGTGAAGTCTATTTGAAGTCTAGTTTTGTCACAAGAATTGACTTTCAATTGAGTTATGAATTGATTTTGTGGTAAAAATGGCGAAAACGTATTCTTCGGACTCTTTGGATCGATTCGGTGATGATTTGTGCGAAGAGTTGTTGTCTTATCTCTCACTCGAAGACAAATTCAGATTTGAATGCATTTCAAAACAGTGGCGAAGAGTCGTCTTCAGGAGTCAAATGGAGATAAATGGACACAAATGGAAATCTTTCCGTCAAAACAATTGGCGTATATTTGAGACAATTCTCAGGAAATGTACAAATATTTCATCCATTCATTTGACATTTGGTTATCCACTCGAAGACAAAGCCATTGATCTAATGATCAAATACTGCTCTGATTTGACACACATTTCAATCAACTTCTCTGATATTAGTGTCGAAACAATTGATAAGTTTTTCACTAAATTTGGTCCACAATTGAAAACATTTGCAAGACTTTTGATTAATCCAAGCGTTGATCAGAAATGGGTTAAGAAATGGCTGGAAATGTGTGTAAATATGCAATCATTTGAAGCCTATTCCCAATGCAAAACATACCAAACCTTACAATCGGTGACCGAAAGCCGAGTGCCGTTTAAACGACTCAATAGTATTGAATTACATCCGACTTCTCCGACGGATAATAAGACAGTATTGGATGTGTTTGCGGACAAATACGGCCATCAAATGAAGACATTTACGGTTATAGTTAACAACAGATTATTAGATAAAACTTTGGTCAATACTATTATCGATTGTTTGGTGCGAATGCGACCATTGGTTGGCCTTAATCTTAGCTTCCGATGTGTTTCATCCGAACAGTTGATCCCATTATTGGCTAAAATTGGTATCAATTGTCGGCAAATGAAGAGTCTTAGCTTTTCTGTCGTACAATTGTCTCCACAATTGATTCATACAATTAGTGAACACTTTAAACATTTAAAACGACTCGAAGTTAAGGCACAATATTTGTCGGGAGAGCCGCTGACCAGCCATTCATTGGCGCCTTTGAAACGATTAACTCATTTGCGTTTGTTATGCCGTAATCACGACGAGAGCCCATATTTTACGGATCAAATTATCGCTAATATTGACCACAATTTACCAAATCTTCAGTATTTGAACGTAAAGTACGTGAATATGAGCGACGAGTCGTTGATATCATTGTCTGGATTGAGACAAATCCGTGGCATTACTCTCACCGACGATAGTAAAGACTGGAAACAGAATATTGATGACAAGTGTGTCAATAAACTTATCAAAAATTGTCCCAAAATTGTTTTCTTCAAATTTAATACAAGAAAATTCATTTGATTTATTAAAATATTTGTTCACTTTATATGAAAAATACTGTTCACTAATCTATAGTGTATTCAATTACCGGTATATAAATGTCTTCTAGTATTAAAAATATCTAAAATATTTGTTTTAAATATATTTATTTAAAGTAATTGACATTTTTTCGTAGACAAAGTTTTGCGCAAAAAGGAAATGAAAACAGGATTTCATAACCAATTTGTGAAAGTTTTGAGCGCATGTCTCGCGTCTCGTCCTCTCTATTGCTGACAATCATTCAAACCATTTGTTTATTTGTTTGGATTTTGCGTTTTATTTGTCATAAAACGCGTCAATAGTTTGGATAATAATTTCAAATAATGCTATAAATTGTCGTTTCATTCAATTATTCGCAATATTTTGTCGATAGCTTTGAAACAACTTTTGTTTCAGTTTTTGTCAAAACTAACAAAATGTTTGGTTTCCTAAGGAAGACGAATGTGAGTCATATATGCCATCAATAATACTATTGAACAACACTTTAATTGTATTTGAATTGACGCCAAGATTTGCAATAAAGGTATGGATCTGTTTGAGCCAAATGTGGTCACTCGGAGGGCAACCCTCGCTCTCTCCTGATTCTGGTTCCCGGAGTCGCAGTTCGGATGCGCTGATGGAGGTATGCATGACATGACTCATGTCACATGAGTAATGACGATATATTGATGATATGATTGATTTGACTGTCATTAGGCCTGAGCACACCCGATATGCCCGCCGTGTTGGGAATTAGGGTGCATAGTATTCAATCCGCTAGTGTGCCTCTGGTAACTATAGGTTATACTGGGTTTACAATGGTGAAAACTCCACTTTTGAAATTCTTGTGTCTTTGAAATCATTGTTTAAATTAATTCATATTTAATACAAACAGAAAATTCTCGACATTTTTTGGGCCAATCATTCGCCCACTGTTTGCCACAAAAGACAGTATATGTCCGCCATTTTCTATCACAATTCAGAACAGAAACAATTGGCCGAAGAGTCTATGAAAGAGGCGCAGAAGAAGTTGACTCAACCGATTCAGACAAAGATTTTGCCATTGGATGTGTTCTATGAGGCGGAAGACTATCATCAGAAGTATATGTTAAGAAAACACTCAAATCTCATCAAAAGTTTGGGATTGAGTGACAAGCAGTTAATCGGCGGACACATCGCCGCACGAATTAACGGCTATTTGGGACACTTCGGCACTTTTGCCACTTTCGACAAAGAGGCCAACAATTGGGGCATTAATTGCGATCAAAAGAACTATATATTGGATCAAATGAAGTGTTCGGATTCCGGCTTTTGTTAGACTTAACAAGCACTTACCTAAATCATTGTTGACCTTTTCATTGCCTCTGTATTATTGGATGATATTGTGGGTGTACTGTACGTAATGTATTGGTTCAGTCAATGGGGACAGAAAGAAGGGGTACTCAATGAAAAAGGTCGACAACGATTAAGGTAAGTGCTTGTAAGTTATTTGAGAATATGTTTCGATGATTTGAATTGGATTTATAGACAATCATAATATGATTCCCATTAATAGAAAGTTAATACGATTAATGAGATGATGACATGATTTGCTGTAATGTTTATTTGAATTTTAATCTAAATATTTGTTGTTATAAAATATAAAGTTTAATAAAACCGTGATAAGTAACGAATGAAAAGTAATCGTTTAATATTGCTAATATTATATTGGGCTGTTCGTACTTTGCATACTTGCGCACTTAATTGAATCTGCCTGGTATGTTTGGAGTCACTTTAGTGCTTGAAAAAATCATTATTTTATGTTTCGTTTCGTTGGCAGTAACTTTTCAAAAGGTAAGATTTAATTAGCTTATAAAATATTGGGAATAATACAGAAAATTGCATTAAAGTTAAATATAAAATTATAAAAATATTCGCTGAAATAATTATGATAAACACCCCAAATAGTTAATTAAAGGTATAGTGAATTTCTATCTAGAATTAAATTGCAATTTATACTTGACTAAATACTTTATATATTTTTGTAATTAATTTACCTTAATTTTAATCTCATATCAATTACCATAACCTAAATAATGCGTACAATCAATAAAATTGCCAACAATTACACACACAATACTTTATATACATTCCAAGAATATACTGGACATCAATAAATTATCCAATTATGCGCCTATTTAAGTCACTCTACAACACATACATACAGTCTTCAAAATGTAGTCTAAACAAGACTTTTACATTATTTGTTTGTTTAAAACTATTGATGTCAAATTGAATTAATTGTAACTTTTTTTAAAATTGTTTTAAAATAATAAAATAATTAAAAGTTATGAATAAAACAACTAGATATTTACGAGTACAGCCGGTACAGTACAAACACTGTTACCACACCCACATCTCTCCTTCTACTCCCCTCTAATGCTATCTTAGTTAAAATCGCTTATCGTAACGTTTTTAACCACAATTCAGTATGAATTATGTGGTTTATAGTGGTATAAAGTATGCGTATACCAGCCATACCTTATACATAGGGAGACGCGGGCCTCTCTCATAGTTCTTGGAGCACTAAAATACTTCAATAAAATTTCACTTAAGAGTACTCAATTTTTTGTATCAGTGGCGACCTCTGGACGACTTCTTTGGCACTCTTGGCGATACTACTGGACACTACCTGGGCAACTCCTTCAGACGACACTCCCGAAAATCCGGACGTACACCTGTGGACCCCTGACCGATACTGTGTGACGTCTCGTACTCTGGTCACGTGGTTGTCGCCATCTCTCTGACTTCCGCACTGCTGTCACGTGTTGCTGCCATTATTCTGACGTCCGCACACCTGTCACGTGTTGGCCGCCAATTCTCTGACGTCCGCACACTTGTCACGTGTTGGCCGCCATCTCTCTGACGTCCGCACACCTGTCACGTGGTTGTCGCAATCTTTCTGACGTCCGCATACCTATCACGAGTGGCCGCCATATTGGTTGACGTTCGCATCGTTTGCCTGACGTTCCTGACCTGTACTGACGTTCCCGACGACCCGGAGACGTGTTTGACGACCCGCTGACGTTCCCGGCATCCGCAGACATTCCCGGCATCCGCAGACGTTCCGGACATCAGTGGACCTTACCACCATTCACCAACTGCTGCCATCTAGGTGTGTAAGACCACCGACGTCCGCCATAACACCTCCCTTTCCTCTCTACGGTCAGCGTCCAACTACAGATCGATGGATCACTCCGGAGATAGGGACATCTGCGCGACCAGCATACGCCCAAGGAAAGTTTATAGAAATTATTATGTATTTAAAATATTACTTATTGTTATAAATTTGAATTGAAATTCTCTATAAAGACAAAGTTATATCCAAACTGGTAAATTAAGGTAACGGTCTTCTGCCTTGGTAGTTGTCACGTAAAAGCAAATACATTTATGTTAATCGTTTAGTAAAAGATAAATTAAGTATCCCTTATTTATATAACTAATAAATTATAAAAATTATTATATATTTAAAATATTACTTATTGTTATACATTTGAATTGAAATTCTCTATAATGACAAAGTTATATCCAAACGAACATATTAAGGTAATGGTCTTCTGCCTTGGTGGTTGTCAGGTTAAACCAAATACATTTATGTCAATGATTTAGTGTTAGAATAATTAAGTATCACTTATTTATATAACTAAAAATTATAGAAATTATTATTTATTTAAAATATTACTTATTGTTATAAATTTGAATTGAAATTCTTTATATTATTATAGAAGCCGTGCGGCTTGTCAGTTTTCTGAGCGACCGGCTCTGCCTTTCAGCTGTTGATAGGAAGCCGGCGCTCATTGACTGGTTGGCCGTACGGCTCCTGTCGGCGGTCGTGCCGCACCCCATCCACTAAACGGCTAATAAAATAAATAATTATTAAAAATGTATAAAATAAATATAAAATACAAAAAAATATACTTACATTTAAACACAACACAAACAACACATACATAATAAATGAAATAAAAATAAAAGATAAGAATAGAAAGTAAGAAATGAAAAGATAAGAGTGAAAGTGAGAAAAGTTAAAGATAATGAATAGATTAGAGAAAGTATAAAGTGATGAGTAGTGAAAAGTTAAATAAAAGTTTGAGTTAAAGATAAGGGAAATGAAAAGTTCATTATAAGCAGAAAAGTGTAGAGAAGTAAACGATAGATTAGAAAAGAAAAATGGGTTTACTTTGAGATTAAACAGAGAAAACATGCAAAATAAACATAAAATTCGAGTGAATTAACAAAAAAAGGGACAAAAAACAAGACACACAAACAGATAACACAAACAGATAACACAAACAGACAAAGAATATTGTTATGTCGACAAATATATTGTGACGACTGGTGGCACGTCCGCACATCATGTTCCAAAGTCCCAATAGCGAGACGGTATATAAAGAACCGTCAATTATCTAATAATTTAATTGATATTTGGGTTTTACTAAAAGCATTTAATAAGTACTCGAGTATTCAATTCAGCGAACTTCTAGTGGACTTACCGACGGCTCCTTCATCCAGGCGGCGACCCTCCGATTGACGACGACTCTTCCTTTTGGCGGCGACTCTTCCCTTTGACGGCGACAACGACCCATTGGCGGTGACTTTTCCCTTTGGCGGCGACGCACTCCATCATCGACTACTCTCCGTACCGGCGAGGACTCTACCTATTAGGGGCGACTCCTCCTATTGGCGACGACTTTCCCGATTGGCACCGCCTTATCGTCTCAACACCTAACGTAAGCGTAATAACTTTTCCGTTCGCCTTTTTGTCTCGATCTCGCCCTCTGACCGCTCGCCCTTAGTCTCTGTGTCCCATCGGTAGTTGTAAGTCTTTGTTGCTGTCGAGTGCCGACGAAGCACTTGTAATGCGGGTGGATGTCTTGTCGAATGGGCGTCTGTGCGGCCGCGAAGCCTACGGGTGGTTCAAACGCACATGTTCTGCCGGCGAGACGGAAACCTTACCTGCAGGTCTTTGTTGGCAACCGCCTAACAGCCGTAGTTTACTAGTGTTCGCGGACCGTTTGCTGCGTCTGCAACGCGGTTTCGGTCATTCTTTTAGCGGTGTCCTAGTGCACATTGTCAGCCGACAACGACTGAAAACACGGCACCCACCCTCTTGCCCGACACTCGGTGACTAGCGCCCAATGCCAGACGTGCCTTTAGTCCTCTGTCGGTGATCTAACCGCCGACGACTAAGCGTCTCCCGTCCGACATTACCGGCGACTATCGCCCCATGCCAGACGCGTCTTTAGTCCTCTGTCGGTGATCTAACCGCCGACGAATAAGCGTCTCCCGTCTTACATTACCGGCGACTATCGCCTTATGCCAGACGCGCCTTTAGTTCTCTGTCGGTGGTCTAACCGCCGACGACTAAGCGTCTCCCGTCCGACATTGCCGGCGACTATCGCCCCATGCCAAACGCGCCTTTAGTCCTCGGTCGGTCGTCTAACTGCCGACGACTAAGCGTCACCCGTCCGACATTACCGGCGACTATCGCCTCATGCCAGACGCGCTTTTAGCCCTCTGTCGGTGGTCTAACCGCAGTTGGTCCGACAATTGAGCGCCACTTGCTAGAACATTCAGGCGATCTCCGCTTGAGGTCGACGCACTTGCCCCTCGCTGAGTTCCCTAACCACTCGGCGGCACTGCGCCGACCCCTCCATATCATCAGTCGCTCAACGACTGTATACTCGAGGCTCCTCAGCCTCACCCCCGTTATGATTTGAACAACAAAAGAGGTCCACATCATAACAATATCAACAAAGTTATATTGAAACAGACATATTGAGGTAATGGTCTTCTGCCTTGGTGGTTGTCAGGTTAAAGCAAATACATTAATGTCAATGATTTAGTGTTAGAATAATTAAGTATCCCTTATTTATATAACTAATAAATTATAGAAATTATTATTTATTTAAAATATTATAAATTGTTATAATATTGAATTGAAATTCTCTATAATGACAAAGTTATATCCAAACGAACATATTGAGGTAATGGTCTTCTGCCTTGGTGGTTGTCAGGTTAAAGCAAATACATTTATGTCAATCGTTTAGTGTTTGTCAGGTTAAAGCAAATACATTTATGTCAATCGTTTAGAGTTAGAAACATTAAGTATCACTTATTTATATAACTGAACATTTACTGAAATTATTATTTATTTAAAATATTACTTATTGTTATAAAGATGAATATAAATTCTTTATAAAGACAAAGTTATATCCAAACGAACATATTGAGGTAATGGTCTTCTGCCTTGGTGGTTGTCAGGTTAAAGCAAATACATTTATGTTGATGATTTAGAGTTAGAAACATTAAGTATCACTTATTTATATAACTGAACATTTACTGAAATTATTATTTATTTAAAATATTACTTATTGTTATAAAGTTGAATTGAAATTCTTTATAAACTGTTTCAATATAGGTTTCGAACATATTGAGGTAATGGTCTTCTGCCTTGGTGGTTGTCAGGTTAAAGCAAATACATTTATGTCAATCGTTTAGTGTTAGAAACATTATCATAGTGAATAAATATATTGACTTGTAAATGACTTTAATAATAAATAAATTTTATAATGAATAACAATATTTCTTGAATTGAAATTCTTTATAAAGACAAAGTTATATCCAAACGAACATATTGAGATAATGGTCTTCTGCCTTGGTGGTTGTCAGGTTAATGCAAATACATTAATGTCAATGATTTAGTGTTAGAATAATTAAGTATCCCTTATTTATATAACATAAATTATAGAAATTATTATTTATTTAAAATATTACTTATTGTTATACATTTGAATTGAAATTCTCTATAATGACAAAGTTATATCCAAACGAACATATTGAGGTAATGGTCTTCTGCTTTGGTGGTTGTCAGGTTAAAGCAAATACATGTATGTCAATCGTTTAGTGTTAGAAACATTAAGTATCACTTATTTATATAACTGAACATTTACTGAAATTATTATTTATTTAAAATATTACTTATTGTTATAAAGTTGAATTGAAATTCTTTATAAAGACAAAGTTATATCCAAATAATATTATAAATTGTTATAATATTGAATTGAAATTCTCTATAATGACAAAGTTATATCCAAACGAACATATTGAGGTAATGGTCTTCTGCCTTGGTGGTACAGTCCAATTTCGTTTATGTAAATACAGTTAGCAAATCACAATCTTTGTAATTCATAGTGAATAAATATATACTGAACATTTACTGAAATTATTATTTATTTAAAATATTACTTATTGTTATAAAGTTGAATTGAAATTCTTTATAAAGACAAAGTTATATCCAAACGAACATATTGAGGTAATGGTCTTCTGCCTTGGTGGTTGTCAGGTTAAAGCAAATACATTTATGTCAATCGTTTAGTGTTAGAAACATTAAGTATCACTTATTTATATA